CAGCCACGTGCTATAAATACTGCACTCCTGGTGCCACCATCACCTGTATCTGCGAATGTCTCTGAAGATGGATTCGAGTGAGGATCCGAAACGTCAGGCAAATAAATTTCTTGTTCCAGTGTTCGCATCTTCATCTTCTGAAGCACAGATATTTACCTTCACGTCTCTCTTCTGCGCCTTCGTTGGTCAGCTAATCCAATCGCCGTTGGTTGGCTCTCCTTTATTGGATATGCTTCTGCCCAATGTCGCAGGAAATTTTCCCACGAAGCTGCCATGTTGACGGTCCTTAGGTCGAACCAGAGGCGGTACTGAACCTCATCTAGATGGGCCCACACTGCTCTGCTACAGACAGGACCAGACTGCCATAGCTTCCTCTTCAATCTGCTCCAGTAGGCCTCCACGGCGTTCATATGCCGACCTGTTGTGGGATTCACGAACCCGCTACTGTGGTTGACAGTGTAGTGAGTTTAACCTTCCGACGTTAGGCGGGCATAACCCTTCCACTCATCGGTTACTATAACACTACCAGCAGCCACCCACTTAACTATGACGGGCCTTAGGGCTTGCCAGCTGCCGTTGTTAACCTGCTCAAACAGGGCTTTCCGTCTGCTTGTATCGTACATAACGACGACCCATAACTGGTGCCGCGGTCGTCCCTGTGGTACTTGCGGCAACTTATTAGAGTCTCGTCTATCTGCACTTCCACGCCAGGTCCCCCAAATTGGGTTACAGCGGTTAGAAGTGCGTGTGAGCAGGCCCCGCGGCAAATGCTGTACCATTCCATGGCAGTATTTCTACCGACACCCACACTTACAGCACACCACTTGGCCCGCACACCTTCGACGAACTTATAGCAGATACGTAGCAGTGTCTGCAGACTGAGCTTGCTACCGACGAACATTGACCCCGTTCGCAGACACCGCTTTCGTCTGCAGTGTCCACAGCGGAAGGCATAACCATCGGTATGCTGCCGTAGCACTTGCATCTGTACCGTACACCGACATCGGCATGCCAATGTAGTGGCCAGCAACCTCCACAGCTGCAGATACTGAACGACACCTGCTAACTGAAGGACAGCTTGTATTTCATCCTCGGCGGTCTGTATAACCCGCTGAGGACCACGCCTACGTCCGCCCGAGGTCGGTGACGATCTAGGCATAAAACAGTAGGAGTTTATACTACTGTTGGTGTCAACTTATGCATATCCCCCCCGTCCTCTTTTCTTTTACGTGTGCCCAGAGTAATTCATGGTTTACCCAACAACGAGGTTCAGGTGAAATAGGGGTAGCTTACCGATAGTAGACCATCATGCAATAACCTGACTTTCCATGCATTTGCTCATACTGTTTGTATCTACCAGGCAATGTACTCTTGGTTGAGTAACATGGTGCACTTAACCTTCATAGGATTTACGTATACCAATCAGTGGCCTTTCAGTTAAACTGTCCTCCACCTCCGCTACCCACCGACCAACTACTCAACACGGCCCTACCTAACTGCAGATTACGCCTCAAACAAGCCCCGATTTACCGTAGCATACCAACAATGCGTACATCGGTTCTCTTCCTCTAATGGCTTGCCCTAAGCTCAGCTTCCGTTGGTTCGTACGGCAGAAGAATCCAAATGCCTTTCCCTTTCTTTAAATGGAAACCTTTATAGCCGCATGTATTAATACTACTCCATGGGTGGGGTTTGACGCAGACAAGGAGCAGTGAGATTTCCGATCGGTTCTGCACTTACTCACTGACAACCGCATTAATATTCCCCTACGAGAGGGCTTTGAGGCAGACACGGAACAGTATGATTTTAAAGCGGTTGTGCACTTAATCACTGCCAACTGATGGTGATCGTGGCATCTGACACGGCGCATGCCCCCTTGGGCGCCCGCCCGCACTACCCAATAACCTAACTTTCAAGTTAAAAAAGGTTACTTAGGTCAGCAAACTCGGGAGTTCGTCGACCTGCTGTAGGTCGGTGCGGCGGCGTTGGAGAACATCCAGGTATCCTAAACATTTTTCGCGTTATGCGTATTAAACGGTGCATGCGCAGGAGGTCGTCGGTTAACAACTTAAAAACATGGCGAAACAGCGAACTTACACACGGCGGCCACCATTTCGGGAGTTCGCCGATCGGCTGCAGGTTGGTGCGGCGCCGTAGGAGAACGTCCAGATATCCTATACATTTTCGGCGTTATGCGTATTAAACGGTGCATGCGGTGGAGATCACCGATATAATAGAGATGGAGGGGGTGGGGAGGGGGTTAGTAAGGGGCGGGGAATTGAGGCATTTGTCATAAGCAGTATATGCAAGCACTCCTACCCAACCACAGTACTCTGGTGTCCTTTCCCGTCTCGCTTGCGCATCCTGTGCTTCTCACCCATCTGCTGCAGACTAAATCAAAGGTGGCGCCGGTTCAGGTTGACTCGCCCTGGTCGCCAATCATATCATGTCCCCCGCCACCCCGCATACCATTGGGGTACTGCTTATTTGCACGCCCCCCTCCAGTATTTTTCACTTCATTTCGCTGCGATTTCCAACATTTTTTGAACCTGCAGCCACCAATCCAGTGCCCCCGCCGTTTTCCCCGCCCGTTCTTCCCCTCAAAACCGCCTTCCCATTGCACCCGACCCACCTAGAGATCTTTACTCACTGTGGCCGCCTACTTGGCCTCTGCCTTTCCGGCAAATACAAGGGAGACCGGGATTTCCACTTCTGACATATTAGCCGTCATCATCCAGTCATACCCCACCCCGAAGTGTGGAACACCTGGGGCTCGATCCTGAAGCCTGTTAGCCAGAAATGGCTATTCCAGTCTCTTCTTGTCCTTGTCGGTAATGCCATTCTGCCTATATCATGGGTCGCTATGCGGCTGCTGGTTGGCCTTCAGAGATGACGCGTAAGACACAACGGGGCGAGTAAGTTCCGTAAGAACG